ATCTTTTCTATACATGAGTACACTTTTGCGAAGCATATCACCATTAAATTTGCTGTAGGGTATTAAGACTAGATTGTTATGGACGTCTTTAGGTATAAATACAGAGACTGCAGTTTTGGGGGAGACTTGCAGAAGTATTCAGATCCATTGTACAGCATGTAAAGTATCTGTAGCAAAATGTCATTAAAGTATTAAAGCAAAAGTTCTGGTTTGTTTCCTCTGACTGATATGTTAATATATCTGCCACCAGCAGATTATTAATAGCGAAGCATCAGTGTATCAGCAGCATGTTACTGTTGTAGCTGCTGCAGGTGGAGCTCTATATTCAGTTTTATATACAATTTTACTAGCAGGGACATCAGATAAACCAGAGGGGTCATCACATGATTAATGGCAGAGAAAAGAATTTTTTTTTAAAAGTTCTGTATCACAAATCTGTTTTTGGACTTCTTCTCTAATCTTAGATTTTTGATGAGATATCGGATCATCTGAATATTTATTAAAAGGAATCCATGTGAAATGTTTTGAGGGAAAATCACTGTTTTGTGGAGATCATAACAACTGATAGACATCTGAGAAGTGAGCTCGACTACACGCTGCTTCTTGTAAGACATCAAAGTGGGCAAAAAGGTTAGAAACCACTTGTTTAATCTTTAACAATGTGCTGCAACGTAAAAGCTTGTTTTATTATCTGCTGTGGAAAATCTTCATCTAACAAGTAACTGAAGCTGTTACATAAAGGTAGTCTAGTAAAAAGTGCAATATTTCCCTCTGAAATGTAGTGAAGAGGAAATGTTTAAAAAGACTATGCTTGAGTAAATGTACTGAGTTTCTTTTCCTCATTGATGAATTGTTGTTTTTTTACACACTAAACTGTAGACAAAGAAGAAGAAAACTTACTGGGTAACTGAGGCCTATCTGAAACATATTACATCTGTTTTCCATTTCAGTCAATAATCCTGTGATCATGGTGACCCCCAGACTGGAACCCACAGTTGTAAGGTGAGAATAAACAGCCCCGATCATTTAAGCTTCTAATTCCAGAAACATCTAAAATGGACTAAAACACACATCAGACCTGTTTTTTTCAGTCATGCTAAAACTGAAAAATGCAGGTTAACATTAGGTTCCAAGTCAGTTTGTCTTTGCTGCAGTTGTTCCTCTCTCCCCCACCAGATGGGGTACTGGTTGGGCCCCAGGCACATCAACCTGCCTCAGTCCATCCCAGCTCCCTGTTTGCTCTTGGGTTGTACCCCTCCCTGCCAGAGGAAGCTCATATACAAACCCCCCCTCAGCCTCTGTGTGGAGGCATATTTCCACATCAGCAGCCCACTTACCGAAGCCAGGACAGCTTGTTGGCTTCACTGGATCCAGAGATAGCCAGCTGCAAACTCACTACTCCTCCACATCAGGTGACCTTGGTCTCATCTGGTGTAGTGCTGAGAATATAAACTGAAGAATAAATTCTTTTTCCTGTGTGCTCGCAAATCCCCACGGACAGTTTACCTAATTATTTCACAGCAGAAGTACATTTTTATGTGAAGAGTTAAGAATAATAACATCTGTTTCTCCCCTGAGGGTCTGCAGAGTTAAGCAAGTGTAAATAGAGTGTTAAGAGGCTGTGATCATACATATACATATACAATGGCTCTGTCAGACGCAGCACCGAGGAGACCAGAGCTGCTACGTGTAATGTCAGTGGGTCAGAAATGGTATGTAGGCCAAGCTAATGCTGGTGTGTGATAACTCAGAGAGAGACTTTGAGTCTGCACGCAACTTCTATTGAATGTATGTTACCGAAATATATTTATCTACTGTTTCAGCGTCTTCCAATGCCGAGTGGAGCCATGAGCACGAGCTCAAGTTTGAGCAACCCAGGCAGAGCTGAGCCACAGCGAAGGCCGAGAATATAAAGGAGCAGTTCACCCACATTACAAAAAAAACAAACATATTTTCTCTCTGACCTCATCAAGCCACTCAGACGGTTTTAGCTTTATGCTTCCAGGTTTTGAGATATCTATCATTGAAACGTCTTCTTCTACCGCAGTGAAATGGATACAAATGGAATTTCATTTGTCATGCACACAGCGTAAGAGAAAAAAAAAGACATTTAAATAATTCAACAGCAGCATGTCTTTACAGCAACAATGTGCTGGTGGATAATCCTCAGACCACAATGACTGCAGTGTTCACTGGAACAAGAGGACTTCCTGTTAAGAGTAGTAGTTATGTTGATGGCTTCATCTCTGGATTAGAAGAGTAACCTGGACACTGTGTCTAGAAAGAGGTGGTTTTTGAATGCATTTTATAATCGCTGTGAGCGCCACAAATTGAGATGGAAATCTTTAAACCTGCACATGTAAAAAATACACCACTACCTGCTACTAGAGGTCACCAGAATGTATGTTTTTGCCAAATTCAATCTTGTAGAAATGTTACAAACTACTGCAGCTTTAATTAGGGGGTGGAGGGAGAACTATTAATGAAGTCAAAGCAGTAAAACATTAGCTCAGGAGGATTAGCTGTGTTGAAAACTACAAGCTTAAGTATATTAGTGCATCTTGTGGAGGCTTTTCCAAGCAGCAGGTACTTCTGGTGATATTCTGATTTCATACCAACACATGCTCCGCCTCTCCAGCTCTCTGATGCTGCCCTGATTTTCCAGATTTTTTTTATTTTAAGCTTTCTAAAATGGAATATTTATACAGCTGAATCATTTATTATGTAATTTCTGCCATTATAAAAATGAATTCATCCACTATCTGCATCCTTTCATCCTTTAGCAGGGTCACAGGGAAGGCAGTCTGTCCCTGCTGACACTGAGCAAAAGGTGGAGTAAACAGTGGACAGGTAGGAGGACTGTTCTACTCTGAAAATCACACCTACAGGCAATTTAATCTAAACTGAATGCATATGAGAGGAAACCAGACACTTGGAGGAACCCCGCACAGTAGCAGGGAGAACATAGAAACTGAACTGGGCCCCGCCGACTCAGTCGATTCAACTCCCAGACCTCACTGCGGTGAGACGCATTTAAAAGTCATTAATTACAATACTTCATTAAGTAAAAGCAGAATTGCTGATTGTGGTGTGTACACAAAGAGTGTGTGTATATGGAAAAAGATGCATTATTACATTAACAAGCTGGATTACCTTAATGCCTAGAGGCTCCAAAAACCCCAGGTTCATTGCATGTTAATTAGTTTTGGTGATTTGATTAATGGTGCGTTTGTCAGGGAATTAGCACAACTGAAGTGCAATATTAGCTGAAGTGGATCTGGTGCCTCGTGTTTTAGCCTTGTTTGGTGAGGGAACCCTATAAGAAAAGAATGTCTGAGGATATGTTTTCCTCTTGCAGGACGGGAACAGTCATTGGTTTCTGGGAAAATAATGAAGCAGCAGTGTATAGTTCTGTGTGTGAACTGTGCATTAAAGAAGTTCAACGTAACTTGATTTCTTGCTGAAACTGGCACGAGAAGACGGCAGTTGTAGCCGGCAGCCAATTAGCTTTGCATAAAGACTGGAAACAGGTCATCTGGTTCAATTTAAAGGTAGCAAAATCCATCTACTTGTAGCTCTAAAGCTCTCTCTACCTGGCCAAGGAAATAGATCAGCATATAATCACCGGTAAAAACACAATTTGCAATTTTCTCCACTGCATTTTACTATGCCCTGAATGAACAAGACATATAATTGTAATCTGTGAACTTCAGAGTGGGTTATTTCATCTCAAATCAGGGCTATTCTGCTTGACCATCTCTGATTTGCTTGAAACCTTTGAATAAACTAGATATTTAAAATAGTATCTGCACTATGGCGTTTTTTTCTTTTTTTTGTTAAGGTGTGCTCACAGGTGGGATTTTCATGACAGCTTCAAATGTTCTCTTTTTCAGCTCACCCATAATCAGAGATCTACTTAGCCAATATTGTAGATTCTGAATCAATGACATGAGAAATAAAAGCAAACATTTCAGGCTTTTATCTTGGATAGTTTCAGAAATGTTGTTCAAACACAGCCTCAAATTTCAGTGCCTGAAGAAACATGATAAAAAAAAAAGTGGGTCAACAGACATTTTTTAAAGAAACTGTATCTCAGAAAGTATTTGATATATCAAGCGAAAATTTCACAATTATCTTAATAAACATTCAATTTTACGCTATAAAAATTTCAAGCAAATCAGAGACGGTCGAGCAGAATTGTTAAAAAAGTTTGATGATTTGAGATGGAATGAGTTTTGCAGATTTGTGACGTGCTGATATCAATATATGCACCATTTTTTCTCCCACCTAAGTGCAGAGAACAAGTGTCCTCTGTAGCAGAATTTCCATATTACTTTGTCTACTGGTACCATGACGGCCAAATGACAGGTGCAAATATATGGCACTGGGAAAATAAGGAAACCATCAAGTTAAAACGTGCCACATGTATTTTTATGTGACATTTTTAAACAAAACTAGAAACTTTTAGCCTCAAAGAAGTTATCTGCCTGTGCAATGTTCATTTTGGGCCAAAATTTCCATTCAAAGTCTACATTAGCCACGATTAATTATGATGCATCTCCACACTGAATATAGTAAAGATACCTCTTTTCCCATTTCCAGTCATGCGCTAAGCTAAGCTAAGCTGCTGCCCGTGGCTTCATGTTCACTGTACCGACATGAGGGTGGCTTCATTCCCACCTTACTCTGAGCAAGAGGGCCAATATTTCCCAAAATATCAAATTAAATGGGAACAAGAAGGTGGTAGGGTACATGTGAGTTGCACAGAAGGCGGTTGGTGGGGGGTCTTTAACAGGTTGATTTGGCGAGGACAAGGAGTGTGGTTATAAATAGAGACGATCCACCGCTAATAAAAGTGCACAGAAGAGTCAAGGAAGTGCAATTAATTTTTTTTCCTTTTGTTGCTTTGTTGTTTGACCAAGCACATCACATGAAATGCAGAAAGGATGATTAAAGGTGTATTGATTTACCCATTTGAATCAAAAAGAGACCAGAGAGGACAGATTTACCCAATCAGGTTTTTTTTTATTTGGAACAGAGTGGCAGATTAGTGACAGGGCGGTGGCGTGGAGGATCCGCCTCCTCTCGCTCACTCAGCCAATGACAGAAACTCAGCCTTAAAAAAATGCAAATGTATAAAAACAGGAATGGGAACAGCAAACATAGAGTAGTGTAGCCTCCACTGGGCTTCACACACACATACACACACACACACACACATCCTGGCACATGCATACTCACACACACATACAAATTTACCCTCGTTCTCGCACACGCACACACACACACACGTCTTATTTGGCTACGCAGGCTTAGATGGGTACAAACGCACATGTTTACACTTTGACGGTCACTTTAGAAAAGACAGTACGTGTTAAGATCATTCCTGCCTGTGAGAGAGCGGCGTGTCGTCTGTCCGTCTGTCCTGGCGGGCGCAGAGACAGACAGGTAGACAAGTCAGACAGACAGACAGACAGACGGTGAGAAGACACAGTCAAGTGTGTGTGATAGCCACTGTGAGGGACGAGCTGCCCCACATTCAGCAGTGAATGGACTAAACACACGCAGACGCACACGCACACATACACACACACACACACACACGTCGACAGGCTAGTCAGTGTACACAAGAGTCTGCTGTGAAATACCAAGGTGAAGCACTCATGCACGCGCACACACACACACACACACACATACACAGGTGGCAGGTTCGGATGGAGGTGTAGACTCGCACACAAACACTCTTCTCACACCAGTGAGGGCGAGCAGGTGAACTAAACACACAGCAGTGGAAGAGGTGCGTTACCTGTCTGTGGAAGAGCGTGAGAAACTGCTGGAGTAGGTAAACACACACTCGACCACAGTACATTCCGACTTTTAACTCGCCCCCTTTCTTCTTCTTCGCGTTCAAACTCACGGACAGAAAAAACGCACACGGGGGGCATCCGCACGCACACCCAGACGAGTATAGTTTTTGACTCCCATGCATTTTTGTTCTACAGTACTGAGTATAATAGAAGCTACTAGCCCAGTCGCACTGGTGTGGTTATTGTTACAATCTCTTAGATAGAAGCACAGTCCTCCTGTCTCCTCACGTTCCCCATCCCCCTCCCCCCCGAAAGAAAAAAGGGTCCGACGGCAGGTATTTCGAGTCCGGCCTCGTGAGCACTAATTCCTCTCGTGACCGAAGTTTTGACGACAAATGTTATGATTTTTCGAATTAGTGCACTGAGGAGCGACTCCCTGCGTCGACTTTTTGTATTGAAGCCCCTCACGCTTCCCGTAGGCCCCTCCCACCCCCGAACAGAGAGCCAATGGTGGAAGAAAAAGAAAGTGAGGCATGCAAAAAAAAAAAAGGTTGGGGGGCGTGTGTTGGGTGTTGGGAGGGTTCTAAATGACTGGACATGTAGTTGTGCTTTTACACAAACAGACCAAACTCTAAACCAACCGGCAACTGATTCCACAACTAATCGATAACATACTGGAAACCACCTGATCGCGCTCCAATCACAAGTGATGACTATCACGATGACGATGGGTTTGATATGTGTCTGGATGATATGATTTACAGTATATTTAAAGTCCGTGGTGTGTTCGAAATGCACAGCAAAAGTTTTTCATGTCTGCAGCTGCGTGTGTGTTTGGTTGGTGCGGGTGACGGGGAGCACAGCTCATCTATAGTGAATGACGGATGTGATGGATAAAAACTCTTCATGATCATGCAGATGGTTAGTGACGCCAGAAAGGATACGCTGATATTTACATATAAACTTTTTTTTTTTTTTTTAAACTGCTAAATACACATCCTCCTGTTTAAGTATCATTATTATTATGGTATTATTATTATTATTATTATTCACCATCCAGCCCAGAAACATTGATATATTATTGATTATTATTACTATCCATAACTAGTCTTTGTACAGCTTTCGAGGAGCAGAGGGGGGCCGCCGGCTTGCTGCGACCAGCCAGTGTTTCCACAGTGGCTCCTTGACATTGTGAAACACGCCGAGGGTTGAGCACCGTTTTCTGGTTGGCCGAGCACAGAGAGCGAGGTCAGAGCCACCTTCGAGCAGTGTGTGTGTGTGTGTGTGTGTGTGTGTGTGCGTGTGTGCAAGCTTGTGTGTTTATGCGGCTGCATGTTTGCGTGTTTGCTTTGAGCACCAGAGGGACGGAAGGCACAAAAGAGACCTTTCCTCTCACCTTTGACCTCTTCGGCTCTGTGCGGCCAACCAGACGCTCTGTGTGTTTTTTTGTGAAGGGGGTTGAGGAGGCAGAGCGCTGTCTTGTCCTCCCTCAGCCCACTCCACCCCTCTCCTCTCTCTTTTAAGCTTTTTCATTTAAAAACAAAAGAGGAACTTTTTTTTTTTTTCTGTGCCGGAAAACACAAGTTATGTGTTTTGCTTTGTTCGTTTGTTTGTTTGTTTTTTTTACAAAATAATCATATCATTACATACAGAACAGGAGAATCTGTAGAATATTAATAACAACATTTACTTTAAAAACATCTCGTGTGTATGTGTTATTTTTTTCTGAATATATTTGGATTTTTTTTGTTGTTTTTTTCCTTTTTTTTGTCCTCTTTTTTCTCATTTTCATTGAAAAGAAAGTTCCAAGTCCGCAGAGAGAAAGGCGCTCTCAAGTGTTTTGGAGACGAGAGGAGAGAGGGATGAGGAGAGGCTGGCAGATGAGGAGGGAAGCGACGTAGGAGGAGGAGAAGAAGAAGAAGAAGGAGGAGAAGGAGAGGAGGAAGAGGAGGAGGAGGAAGAGGAGGGGAGGGGTTAGAGTATCTTTCTCTCTTTTCTCTCTCGCTCTTTCTCTCTCCCTCGGTGTGCGGTGTTGTCTCTCTGGCGTACTAGTGTTATGCGTAAAACTCCTCTTGCTTGTCTGGTTTCTGGTAGGTGACGGTGGCCTGTTTGGGTTCCTCCAGCGTGTAGCTGCCCTCGTCCTTCTTCTTCATCCGGTACACCAGCAGCATCACCAGGAAGGCGGCGAACAAGGCGCCCACCACGCCTCCCACTATCACCGCTGGAGCGAGACACAAACAGAACATCAGTGAGTCCAAAATCTGCTGCGGTTCAGATGCTACGAAACGCTCACAAACACGCATAAACAAACACTAAAATGCCATTAAGAGCCACTGTTACGTCATGCGGCAGACTAACAACACGACACATATGCGCTGCTTTAAAAAAAACAAAACAAACACACATTTCTAGTACTGGAAAGCAGAGCAAATCTACCACAGCATCACTATCACCTTGCTGCTAAGTGAAGACTGATGAGCCCGAATGTGCCAACACACATCCTGTGCTGCCAACAGCTTTGTGCTAAATTGCAGCCCTGCAGTGCTTCATAGTAGTTTAACCCGATGGCGCTGGTGTAACCAATCCGCAGCAGCTGCATTTTTCCACCTTCCTCTGCTCACATCACTAATGAGCTCTTGCTGTGTGCGGCTATCAAAATGGTTAAAGACTCCCTCATTAAAGTGCTTGGAATTGATGCCAAAGCAGAAAACAAACTGTTATTTTCCAAAATGCTTAAAGAACACTTTGTATGGGGTGTGTTTACTTTGTTTATCCCGCTGCTGCAGGGGGATTTAAAATAACACTGTCACTGCATACGTATTCAGCTATTTGACTTGGCGCAACAATCCTATACAAATTTTCTTGGGAGTTTTTTTTTTTTTTTTTGTTGGTGCCATCATGCAGTGAATAACTACATTTACCATCTCTGCTTTCACTGTGGAAGACAGCTGTGATACTGAACTTATTTAACTGGATCATTTCAAGTTCTCATCACGAAGACAAGATGAGCGACAGATGGGTGACAAATCAAAGGAAAAACCTACATAAAGTGTCTCAGTGTTGGGCCTCCACATGCCGCTTAAAGTGGTGGAGGAGAGAACTGTCAAACATTTGGGTCCTAAATCTCGCACTGGGGTTCAAATGGTTTGAGATTTGGCGACTGAAGGCCACAACATATGAATCGCATCATTTTGGGACTCAAACATTCAGTGACCTCATGTGTCCAGTGGATGGAGGCATCCTGGAAGAAACCATCCCCGTCAGGGAGTTCAGGTTTTTCCTTTAATTCGTCATCCATCTGTACTTGTTTGCGAATCCACAAAATCAAATCCTCATTAACATCAAGGATTTTGAATATCTCGACAACTGTTCGATGGATCGCCTTGAAATCTGGCCCAGATATTAATGTTCCCCCTCAGGACAAATTCTAACAACTTTGGTAAGCTTATTACTTTTCCCCGAGCATCATCATCCAGTCAGAAATCAGTTTATGACCGACTATCTCTGAAGCATTCCCATCAGTCTCAGCTGCTTTCCACAGAATTTATTTCTAAATTAACGAGTTTTAGCATGCAAATATTGTCATTAAGCGAACGCGGACATATTTAGCATGCTGATGAACCCGTTGAGACCCACAGCGCCCTCTGAACACGCGCACATGTTGCATCAGGTCTTAGTGGGTTAAGCTCAAAGCGCTGCTGTGCCTGTGTGCAGCCTCACAGAGCCCACCACAGCTGCAGACTCTTATTAAACTACCAGCGCAACGCCGTAGTACTGTCAAGCATTATATAGATTTTGAGGGTGATATTTTTTAATGAAAGCCAACTGTGATCTAAGTATAATATAAACATATAGCTGAGGAGAAAAATAAGCCAGATGGGAATTGACAGGCACAGATGGGATAGTTTTTTTCATTGTTTCATCAAAACCTAGAAAAAAAACGCAGAATTTCTAGTTCGCCCTGATGACAAGCAAACAGAGCAGAACGCTGTGCAAATAAAAATCATACTGGATTATTCTGACAGATATTCTGATTGCAATATGAGTCACAGTTTTAGTAAGAATGGTAATTTTTTGCATTTCTTTTCTGCTGAAACAAATATAAAAATGATGATGTGATTTTAGATTTTTGGTTACATCTGGAAAATTAGATTCGTAGCCAGGGGCATCTTTGTAGCACCACGGTGCTTTATTTATGAAGATAAGTTCTGACACTTTTTACCTTTATCAAATAAACTGCAGCTAATGCAATCTGGAAATTGCACTTGGACATATTTTGATTAATTGTTGAGCCTTACAAGCAAACAATGTTATAATAATGTTTAGGGAAAAAATATGAATGTAAAAGTCTTCTGAATAAAAGTGAAATGCCAAAGATGGTAAATAGCTCCATGTTCTCTCACATACTACTTGAATAGATGAAAATAAGGAAGGTGACTATGTCTGCGCAGCACTAACTGTGAATCTACAAGCCTGACAGGCTGTGATTTGGTTCTATCACACAGTCTAGTCTAAAATCTGTTGCCTCCTGCTCTGTACCGATGACCAGGAAATCAGCGAAAACCACCGCCAGCAGTCCACCAATCAGAACAGCTGAAGGAGAGACAGAGAGCCAGTCAGGTCAGGCAAGTTGGCTGCTACCTCGCTTTCTACAGCAGCTCTTTGGGAAGAGGAGAAGGGGGCACTTGAAAAGAAATTGGATTTACCCAGAGGGAGAACGATGAGAAAAAAAGGGGGGGAGAAAGGAGGGGCTGGATAACCCAAGAGGAGGATTGCTTGTTCTCAATGGGTCAAACTGGGCTAAGTAGCACATTCACTTATGGTGATGAATCCGCACTACGTGAACGCGAGGTAATGCCAGGTTTATCTTAGCAGCTCGCTGAAAGCAGGGAAAGAACACAGGAGGCAACTGGGAGATGTGCTCTGTCGATCTAAGAGGTGATTACTGTTATTTCGGCAGAGAGACATGCAGTGAGACAGACAGACACAGAGCTGATAGACCAGGACACGAATCCAGACATGACAAAAACACGAGAACACATCAGCGTGACCTTTACTGACAGACACTCGTACCTATCAAGACCTCTTTTCTCTCCAGGATGTTCTTCTGTGGCAGCTGGGCGGCTGAGCTCCCTCCATCCACTGTGTTTCCGAGCAGATCAGGCTCCACTGGCATCACTCCTCTGCCGAGACCGTTACGGCGATCGTCGCGGATCTCGAAATCTCCGCTTGGCCCCGCGGCGCCCATCTCGTTGTTGCCCTCCTGAGGAAGAGGAAGAAAAGTGAGACTAAGGACAGGAAATTTACATTTGATGTAATCACATTTGTTCCACAGAGTCGCTGCGCTGAAACTTAAACACAGAGAAGTTTCCATGGCACATGTTCGCCTTTTAAAACAATGAGCTTCTGTGTGTTCCGATTGGCGGAAAGTTGCGTATTATCCAACACATATACACACTTCATAAAATCTGGCAGCCTAATTACAATGTGGAAAACCAGACAAATCTAAACAGTTTAATGCAGAGCGGCTGCAGATAAACAGAAGCACCACAATCAGAGAAATGACTCTGGTCTGTAAATAATTAAGCTGTCACTGTTAACGAGGCGGTCAGAAGAACGGCTGGGTATCCAACCTCAGTGCTTTATTGGTACTGACAGAAATGAGTCCATTAACTTAAGAGCATCAAAAGAGCTAATACGTGAATCCTTGGTCAGGCTTGTTATCGTCATCACTTATTTCTTGATTTTATTTATTCCTAATGTATTTATTTTAATGTACGGCTGCTTGTGTTTAGCCAGCTGTTAGGGCTGATGATATTCTTTTTCTGATTATGGCAACAATCCCAGAGAAAGAAAACCCTACAATGAATTGGTCATAATAACAAGTATTGTCCATGTGGCCTAATACTTCTTCTGTGAGCTCCAAATAACCACAAACAGTTGACATAGCTGCAGTAGGAAATGGAACAATGGATGGTTTGTTATAGTAGCCAACATGGTGAATTTCACGTTGAAGTTGGACATCAAGAGGAAAGAAAAATGATGCTTTTTGTTCTCTTGAAGTTTACCCAATCAGCATTAAGACCCACACAGGAGTTTTCAGTATCTACTCTGGAGGTGGAAGTATTTTCTCCCTGAAAATTGGCCCTGAAAGAGGTTCTTTAGGGGCAGTTTTCACGGTTGGAATACACACAAAAGTTTAGTTGGCCCTAAAACAGGCCATAAGTTCCTGCAGTGGAAAACAGCCTACATAAAGAACATTTTCAGAGTGGGTCCAAGGGGGAGTAAGTCTTATTGTTGTCACTTCCTACTTCTCGCTGTGCTGAACTTGTTGGTTTCTTGTGGTGAGTGATGAGCACAAACCTGGACAGCCACTATCAGCGCTATCAACACCATGAATGAGAGACACTCACCTGTGTTGTTGCCGGCTGCTGTGGCCGGGTCGTCCTCTCTGTCGGCGCCGCCTGAGTGGCCGTCGTCATGGGAAACCTGCCCCTGAAGGGGAACTTGGTCCTGACAGCGGCGGCTGTGGTGGTGGTGGTGGTGGGTGCGGCCGTCGTAGGCTCGGGGGTGATCTCTGCTGTGGTGGACGTCTCTTCTTCTGTGGTGATTTCCATGTCAAAGCCTGGGTAAAACGAGGTGGGCTCAGGTGACAGGTAGACGTCCTCTTCTTCTTCTGTGGTGCTCAGGTCATCTGAACCTGCGGAGGGCGCCGCACTTTCTGAAGGGCTGGTGGCCGGGTTGGTGGTCACCACGGGAACGGCAGCAGGCGACCGCGGGGCGGCGGTGGTCTGGGCGGCGGCGGCCCGGATCCTCTCCAGCTCTCTCTCTCTTTCCAGCTCGCGCTCTCTCTGCCTCTCTCGCTCTTTCTCTCGCTCTCTCTCGCGCTCCCTCTCTCTCTCCCTCTCCCTCTCTCTCTCCCGCTCTCTCTCCATCTCCCTCACCCGCTCCCTCTCCCTCTCTCTTTCTTTCTCCCTCTCCAGCTGTTTCTCTCTCTCCCTCTCCAGCTCCATCTGCCTCTCTCGCTCCTTCTCCTTCTCCAGCTCTCGTTCTCGCTCCTTCTCCAGCTCCCTCTCTCTCTCCCAGAATGCACCGCTCTCCCCGTCGGCCTCGGTGGGCAGCGGGGTGGCCGTGGCGTCCTCGGGGCTCGGGCTGGGCTCGGCCGCAGGTGAGGCGGAGGGGGCCGGGCCTGTGGCCTGGGTGGTGGACAGGAGGAGGGGCTCCTCTGTGGTGAAGGACACGGCCACCGATGTCGGCCTCAAACTGATCTCAGGAACTGAAGAGAGGAGAGAAATTAGAATTAATGACTTAATTATACGACAACAAGCAGTGGCAAAGTCAACAGATTAAAACACAAACACATCACAGCAAAGGCCCAGATTGGGGTGATATAGTCCTCTCCCTTGTGTTAAAGGCTTGGCAGCAGCATTTTGAATTAACTGCAGTGTTTGTTTGATTGTTATTAAACTTGCTGTTTACTTGCTGTCACTAGAATAAAGTGCATTACAATAGTCAAGTCTGAAAGCACGGTGACCTTTTCTAAGTCTGCAGAGAAATGACCTGATCCGACTGTCTGAGTTGGGTGGAGCAAGACGGCACCACTTTGGTCACTTAAGCATCAAAAGACTCAAAAATAACGCAGAGGTGGCGAGCCTTTTTATGAGCGTTAATTGACAAGGGACCCAGACTAAAAAGGGGATAGTTAGGGTGGTAGTTATGATCACTTCAGATTCAGAGTAGTTCAGCTGCAGGAAATCTCATACATCCAGTTTTTCATTTCTACAATGCAGTACGTACTATGAAAGACATCAGTGGCTCCAGGCTTTATCGAGACATACAAATGGGTGGCATCTACTTAGCAATGGAAATCAATGTCATGTCTACACATGATATGCCCCAGAGGTTGCATGTATATAGAGAACAGGAGAGGACCCAGAATAGACCCTTGGGGGACTCCTCAGAAAAAAAGGAGTACATAAGGAGGAGGAGGAATCTCCAATCATAACAGAGGAAGACCTGTTTGACAGCTATGAGATGATCCAATACAGAGCATCATGATGTCAAGAAAAAGCCTCAGACAGCTGATCAAAACATTGTGGTCTACTGCTGAGCTGAGGTCAAGGAGAATTAAAATGGAGTGCAGACCTGTGTCGGCTTCGAGCAGTAAATCACTGGTAACCTTGACCAGAGCGGAAAACAGAAACTGAGACTGTGGGTGGCTGATTCACTACACATTCAGTAGGCCACTCTCTAGTGAACAGTAAATGGAGATTTTAGTCACTTAGAGAATTCTAACACCTAAGCTGACTAGTCTTACTCAGTCATTTGATTGCGGGATTCTTAGCATACAATAAAGCAGTGTAAAAAGGCCATAGACACAGCTTCTGTGATTTTAGTAAAATGTATAAATTTCACACTAAAACACAATGTTGGACAGTCAATTTAGTGCAAAATATTGTTGGTAGAAGATTATCTTGAGGGAATTCTAGCCTGTATTTTATGGGTACAGTGGAGAATCAGGCACGACATGTGAGGGCCGAGAGAGATGGGGACACACAAGGTTTCCGTCTGTATTTTACTGGAGGATGTTATGTGCATATATTTGTGGATCTGAGACCACTGGGCCTCCATTATGCAGAAGATGGATACATTCTAAGGGCTTATTCTTTTCTTCATGTAGGCCTTCAGTCTACACAGTCTAGACAGCCTCAACAGAGGTGGTCTAAATTGAGTTCCTAAGTGGATAAATTTCAAAATGTTCATAGTTTAGTCTGGATGGGGAAAACTGAGCTTTTAGAAAAACCTGATTGGGAAGTGTTTAGCAGTAAAATCAAAGGGAGAACTGCAGCAACTTAGTATTGCTTGTAATTATATGAAGGTTAATGGTTTCCACTTAAAGGACTGTTTTTAACCTTGGTTCTACAAAGCCACCACTCATAAAGCTGCCATGCAGGGTGTTCCACCGCAATAGAGGACTAGATACCCTGACTTTTACTCTCCAGTATGGGTCAAGCTTCAGTAACACTAAATCTTGCACTTCCCATAAAGCAATTTGATCGCATCCTTTTATAAGACGCTCCTTGCCTGAAATGTTCACCTATTCAAACTCCACAGCCCCAGTTCGTAACACAGGCTTTCTGGTGTACACTTAAGGTCTATAAACCCTGAAGAATCAGCTGCTACCATTAGCTGATAATTAATTAGTCAGCTAGCAGATATACAGCTAAACGGCAACTATTATGTTAATTGAATGGTTTTGGTTGTTTTTTTAACTTTTCAGACTTGCTATATACTAAATGAGAAACCAAGTGATTGAGAAAACACTTGACAAAGCTCCTCCAGAACCACAGCAAACCGTATAAACAGGCCATTAACCAAACTGAGATTTGTGTGTCGTTCTACTTTAAGAAAACAAGTGTCTGTTGCCTCTAATTTTCTCTGGGATCAGACATTTTAAATGTCAGTATACCCAATGACACATACAGTGCATAGCTGTGTTTGTTTTTCCAAATTACTTATAAAGTAGTGAATTTAATGACGACTTAGCACTGCAATCAGAGCCACAATTAAATCTCTATTTTCTGCTCATTTAGCTGTCTGACAACAGAAAGTGAACAATATGTAAATGAGAACAACTACAGTGAAATGTGAGTTTAGCTGTATTAAAACCTGGAGAGCAAAAGACGACAGAGCAGAGGTTTAAAGCAGAACTAAAGGCAGAGCAGCCGGGCTGTTTGTCCACCCGTCTGCCGTCTGTGATGTTTAATCATTTTCCTTTTGTTTTGCTCCTTTGGTGTGGACGGAGATCTTTAGGAAGATGGCCTCTGAAATCATTTCATTTTGAAGAGAAGAGAAGAGAAGAGAAGAGAAGAGAAGAGAAGAGAAGAGAAGAGAAGAGAAGAGAAGAGAAGAGAAGAGAAGAGAAGAGAAGAGAAGAGAAGGGCTGAGTGATTCATTTTCTTTGTAAATCTCATAATAGTATTATTCCACCTTTCATTCTGTTATAGCAGTGAAGCTCCTTGGCTTGAAAGAGAAACAAATTGAATTTACAGGCACAAAGACATGAAGGCTGACAGAGGAGCTGGAAAGGATATTGAAATATGGACTTCAACAATGCAGCTTCTGTTAAACATACCAGACGCCACAAAATGACTTGTTCTGAAGCGGCAGTGACATAAAATGCACATCTGTCTGTTAAAAATGAGTCCGTTCTTTGGCATCAGACGACTCCGTATCACGGTTTGAGATAAAGCAATTTGCCAGGCTGCTGTTTCAACCACGGGGGGTGCGTCTGCTACACTCTCCTGCTCTGAATTGTAATTTATTTTGAGCGTGCTCGCCACTAGCGCAGTGCCTGAACCGAGGGCAGTCCTCAATGAGTCATGCTTAATAAGGAGAGCTGCGCTCAAACTTCAACAGCCAGATCAGAAAATCAGCCCGAATTACACCAATGTGATTTACATTAAGTAGGTAATTCCTACACGAGCAGACAGCCAGCTCTGACAAACACAGACATACGCTTGCAAATAGGTGCACACAACTGCTGGTGTGTGATCGTCTAATCTGTGTGGACTGTAATCTGATTAGACTAAATAAGATCTGGGGGAATCGAGCCCGGGTTAGTGCTTGTTTGCAAGGGTGTGTCTAAGATGCTTTCAATAAATCTGCACCAAACTTGTCTGTCAAGCCAAATGGCATGTTTGTACGGTGTGATTTGTGTGTGCGTTGCCTCCGTGCACGCCGTCTGGTGAATAAAGCGCTCATAACTCCAGGACACTGAGGGGGGTGGGGTCTATAGGGTCAGCAGATTGAAATCCAGCAGCTGTCGGGTTTGAAAGAACCAGGGCGTGAGTGTGTAACCTCACACACAATGAAACACACACACACACGCGCACACACACACATACTTACAGCCTGAGCCGGAGCCTGAGTAAAGGTCCTCATCGTCATAAAACTCGTCTCTCGTCGAGCCTTCGTCGTCCATAGACGGCGACCACGTCTGTGCCTGTAGGAGACGCACAGAGAGGGACATACAGATGACAGAGATTAGAGTTATTCATCATGAATGACTGAGCTATTTGTCATTTCATTTGAAAGAGAAACCACTTTGGCAGATTACATGCACACAGAGACACGCACACAACTGTCTGAGAGGATCCTGCATTATGCCGGACAGGGTAACATCTGTCAGTCTGTGACTCTATGGAGGAGCATATTTAATGAGTTGATCTAAAGCTGGGATTTTGTTAGAGGAACATCAAAGCCTTTAAAGAGAGAAGGGGGTTTCATTTAGTCTCTGCCTATGTGTCAACTGCAAGCGATGACTGCAGACTGTAAAGCAGCAAAGCAAAGGAAAGCAATTAGCTTCTGAACTGAGGCTCATTGAATTCAACATTTATTTTCATTTTGGATTAATAGGATCATATTTTTTTAATATGAATTAATCGATCAGTCTATAAATGTTAGAAAATATCCATTTTACATTGACAAAAAAAAATGTCCTCAAATTCCTTGTTTGCATCTAACTGCATTTAATTTTAAATGATTTTAAACGGAGGCAAAAGACTGGAGCAAGAGAATGGTAGACATGTTTCTTTGCTAAACGGTAATCAATCAGTTAATCAGCCAACTAATTCAACAAGGCAGGAGTCTTACAGCATATCTGTGATGCTGCACAGAGCCTTTAGTTAGCAGGTATTTGATCAAAAAAAGTCCCTTTCTGGTCATTGATTAAACCCCTAAAAACTCGTCTCTGTGTTCAAATAAATAAATAATCCCTGTGACGATTTAAATTGACTTGGATGTAACTCTAGAATGTGCAGATCTCGAGCACACTGGCTCACCTACTGTAAAAACTACGCAACACAAAGGCAGGTAGTATTGTCGGAGAAATTCATTCAGATATGTTTGAAACAAAAACCGATTCTGAAGAAGAAAGACACAAAAAGTCCCGTTCTGCAAGTAGACAGGATTGGCAACTTAATGTTAATTTATGTTTGTGCGTCTGTGTCCGCACCCTCTGCGCACATCAATGTGCAGCCCAAAATTTGTGGCCGCATGGACTGTACTAACTGCAACCATGCCGGCTGCCCATGTTCCAGGAAAACAAACGGAGCTCAGAGCGAATGCTTGTTTGGAGAAGAGATTGTGTGAGCAGATACTCCTACCCCCACATCTTTATAGGTCAGCATTAAAAGAGTTGTAATGGAAGTAGAGCTTTGATGTGTACATGCTTTCAGCGGTGCCCAAACTCAGTGGGAAGTTAGAAATTCTCCAGAAATCCTGTGCTGTGACCGTCCACTGTGCCCTGCAAACTACAGGAATAATCAAGTTGACACGGTGCTACAGCCCAGAATGTAAGGAGCTGCTATATCCTGTAAAAGTGCAAAGTCTCAGGCAGCCTTTCAGAAACATGTTCTGTGTTTGATATGAGGTCCAATGGCCCTTTCTGCGGCAGACCGATGTGTACCTATTTCAGTATGAATAGAACCATGTGTGCATCCGCCGTCTGCATTCAAAGCCTGAATTGGTCAGTGCACGGAGATGTGGAAACCGTAAATTGGTCTTTAGGTTTGCTATGTGCTAAACCCCAGAAGTCTACATCTGTTTTTGTGTCTGTGACCACCAGAGTTTTTACAGTTTCTCCTGACAGGGTCATGCATATCTACACAAAATGACATGGCAAACCATTCAGACGTTATTGAGCTATTTCAGTCTGAACCAAAGTGGTGGGCGACTGAAATCTCCTCCATGGATCCACATAGCATGGTAAAAATGGCTGCCACAGTTTCACGGAGCACAAGGTGACATCTTCAGATCGCTTGTTCTGTCCGACCAGCAGCACAAAACCCAAAGATGTGTTCAGTCTACAGAGATGTAAAAGAGAAAAAAAGCTCAGAATCCTCACATTTGAGAACCCATAATGAGCAAATGTTCTGTTTGATAAAGGCCTTGAGTGAATAACTGATGATGAGAATTGTCTGCAAATCACTTATCACTATTTTAAACTCCCCGTGTGGCTTTGAGCTGCAGAATATCACCATCTCTTCTGTCTAACTGCTACATTACAGCTTTCCAGCAGCGCCCTGAAGGCTCTCTGTCTGTAATACGTCTGTAACTGTCTCTCATGGATCGTTTCACAGCATCCACCCTCCTCATCACTCCACTTTAATCCACCTATTTCACGTAGGCCTTGGAGTAGAAAAAGCGCAAGCTTGCCGACCTCTGTCAGGGTCAGGCAGGAGAGATTAGTCATGGATCGTTCAGGGGTTGAACCTGTGAAGTGAATGACCTGAGCCTTCGGTCACTGTGAGGCTGATCCCTCCTCCCTCTTCATTCATCTCCCTCTCTTTCTCTTGACCTCAATCCCACATCACTGCGATGTTTAAACACACACTTTAGCACTCAGAGGCTTTTCCCATCATACAGGGTCAACTAATACAGCTATCAAATGCATGCACTTAGGAGATACCACACATACTGCAGAGCAAAGATAAATTTCAAACTACAGTAGACGTTACAATTTAGTTGAAGATAGGTTTCAAAGAGTGCTGCTCCTGCACTGTAATTCATTATGGCGAGAGCTGCAGAGATACGCAGTCATTTTACAAACACAAAAAAAAACTGCATGGTGCTTATTGATTTATATCAATACGCTAAAATGATTGATCTTCCGCTATTTTGTCAATGATGGAATGCATTTAAGCACATTTATTCGTGATTAGGCTGATTAATCAGGCAGATTAAATGCCGTTTTGAGAAAGTTGGCACCAGCCGATTACCAGGGGGACAGCGATCAGGTCCGGATCGGCTGCAGGGCTCTGACTCTAACTGAATACCACAATGTCAGATGTCAGTAGAAGAGGCTGCTATCTGCTGATAAGTGCTGTTGTTGTTGTTGTTGCTTTTATTTAACCAAAGTTATTAATTTGATTATCTTTAGATATTTAGTCAACTGATGCATTTTTACAACAAATGGATGCCCTGCAGACAAAGCGCAGAACCACTTAAGCAAACAGAGAAGGCGCAGATGTTTATTTAAGTTTGGCAATTTAGTGTCTCGCTTGGCATCATTAATATAGCGCTGTATTTTATCAGATGCAAAAAGAAACAAGCGACAGGAACACAATGCTGACATTCTATATGGTCTCTCAGCATCGCCACTGGCGTCGGTAACTGTGAAACCCGTATTGGCTGAACACTAACATTTACCCAAATACTGTATGGTTTTGAAGTACTTCAGCTTACCTACATTTCATGTTACCTTTTCCTTTGATGGGAATAGTTTCTGGTTTACTTTGCATATAAAGATGTTGCATACAGAAAGTATTTATGAATATTTATTTATAAAACATTGACTTCAGTAGTTAAAGCTAGAGTAGGCAATGTTTTTTGATTGTTTAATGGGACAAAGCTTCTGTAGAAATTTTCATCGTATTGTATTTCAAGCCTCTTGGCTCCATATCCAGGCTTTAAAAATCTAACCTGTGGCAAGGAGGATCACAATCAGGTATTTGCAGAGACAGCGGGGAGAGCAATGGCAACAACTGCGCACACTGTAAAGCAACTGATAAAATTCAGTTGGACTTGACAAGAAGGGAGCCTAAAAGAGAGTTTGACATTAAATCAATACCGATGAAGCTTATTCACAGAAGCTTCATCCACTAACTACTACATCCTGAGATTTCTGTTATTTTTCCTGGACAGGTAATCTGTTAAATTCATCTACCCGTAATATCAGCAATCTTTTATGCAAGTAGAATTATCATGTAACTGGGTGATGAGTGGCTTTGCTGAATGTTGGTAATAGTTACGAACTATAGCCAAACTTTCATGACTACAGCTGATTCAGTTTCATATATATGTGAAATGATCCATGAGAGACAAATCAAACTTATGTTGCGTATGAAGCATGTGCATATACCCGAGATCATCTGGACAGAAATGGGAGAAGTGAAGGAGCAGGGCTGTATTTTAGGTGTTCTTCTCCTCAGCTTTAAAATGATTCCTTTCCACCAACATATATTGTAGTATGTATGTACAAGAGGGAGCTCTTCTGTGTAAAGAGTGCTTTGATTTTTTGCCACATGGGAGCAACCGTACAAGCAGTCGACACAACGCTGACATTTTATCCCCTTATGAAGTCGACACACTCAACTTGCCAGCAAACATTTGCTTATTTACACGTCAAGCAACATCAGCATTAGGACTTTCTGGCCAACACAGACTCTCCTTGTGGCGTTGTTTTTGATCTCTATCGACTCGTAATGCCGTTATCTGGCATTTCAACAGCTACATGCTGCACTATGTTCCGCAGTAAATCACTAACGAACTTGTGCGTCTTTGATGTTGGGGCGGTTATCATCTGAGCAGGTGAAAAACGCATTTTAAAATGAAGCTAATGAGAGCGCTGAGAGAATGAAATCCGCAGGCTGACGAGGCAAAACAGTGAGCTGAAAGTTGCTAAAATGCTTTTTTGAGCAGTCAGTTGTCAAATTAAAACAAATATTAAAGAAGCTTTAATTACATTTTGCTGCATATTATACTTTTATTGTGACTTTTGAATGAAGGACTTTTACTTATAATGGAGTAAACTGTGTGAAAGTGCTACTTTTCCTTACATAAAGCATCTGAATACTTTTCCCACTACTGCATTTTGTCTATTTGGAGCACCGATCTAGCTCAGCGCATGATAAGCAGCACAGGGTTTCATTGCCAAAACAAAAAAATAAAGGGTCATGGTTTTGCTCCAGGTATTGGAAAACAGTCAGTTCGCTGTTGAAAATCTGACCAAAGCAAACTTATCTCCTCAGCAATCTTAAGCCCATCCCGAGGCCCTGCAGAGCTGCTTTTGCTAGCCTGTGTGATGCTAATTGTGCATACACACACACACACATTCACACAAACACACTCACTCACACACACAAGCTCCTCCCCGGCTCCAGACAGCAGAAACCTGATGCCTTTAAAAGCCAATAAAAGCATAATGGAATCTAGAAACCCGAG